AGATACTATTCTGAGTTATTGAGTGATTTAATTCTATATAGTAGACTAATTTATACGGGTCTTAAAATTCATGGCTTTTGATTGTCTCTACAAAGGTTGGACGGAAAAAAAAGATATACTGTTTTAGTATTTTCATGCAAATTCTGATAAAAAAAAAGAATTTGCCTACCTACCTACCCACACCAAGTCATCATGGGTCGGGTTTGGGCAAACTGAAATATTTTTAATTGTGGCCCCAAAGACTTTAAAATTGGTATTTGCTGCTTCTCTGCCAAGCATGCGGCATTAAGGAGTAAGAGCAAAGACTGGTCGGCTCGGAGTCAGAATAATGTGTCCGGGTAAGGTGATATGTATTCCTGCAGACTGTTACCTTGTGAACTAGCACGTTAAAAATCCGGCTCAGGGTGTTGGTCTAGTACAAAGCAGGGTTCATATTCATATAACATTAACATGTTCTCGTCCTGAATATGCATATCAATTTGCCGTTGGACGTTAAGCAGCCATTAATCATCATCATCCTCAAACAGCCAACCTATTGGCAATAAATTCTATATCGATTGACAGCAACTATCAATTATGAATAATTAACACCAAATATGACATGTCCATACTAAGTGGGTGATTACAATTTGCTAGTATCATCTGCTTTTGATGAGGGGTCAGTACTTTATCTATGGGTTTATACATATACAGTCAAACCTGCCTCAACGGTCACCTCCCAAACCTTTTCTCTATATGATTTAACTCATTTCAGTGGTCATCTGTCTAACACGGTCAGCAGTCAAGTACTTTTCGCACGAAATCCTCATTTTAACGTTTTAACTACCTAAATAGTCATGACGAAAAATACATGAATATATGTGTTAAGTATCGAAGTCAAAATGAAAATCAGAACCTGTTTGCAACCTAGATTGTGTAATATGAAGTGAATTATTGAATTCCTCTTGTTCCATACCTTCCTGTTTCCATTGAAAACTGTTTCACCAACTTATTTCTCTACAAATATAAACATATTTCGAATGTTTTCTTCAAATTTGTGGCACTGGATTTTTTTTTATTTCACTACTGCTGGGAAAAATCTGTTCATTGTGTAGAGCCTTCATTATAGCATTTTTCAACAAATATAGAATTTCAAGCTGAATGATTGCATCAAGGCATAATAAACCTTGCTACTTAAAACTAGAGGCTCTAAAGAGCCTGTGTCGCTCACCTTGGTCTATGTGAATATTAAATAAAGGACGCAGATGGATTCATGACAAAATTGTGTTTTGGTGATGGTGATGTGTTTGTACATCTTAATTTACTGAACATTTTTCCTGCTTACAATTATCTCTATCTATAATTAACTTGGCCCAGTAGTTTCAGAGGAGAAGATTTTTGTAAAAGATTACTAAGATTTACGAAAAAATGGTTAAAAATTGACTATAAAGGGCAATAACTCCTAAAGGGGTCAACTGACAATTTCGGTCATGTTGACTTATTTGTAGATCTTACTTTGCCGACATTTATTGTTTTTTACAGTTTATCTCTATCTATAATAATATTCAAGATAATAACCAAAAACAGCAAAATTTCCTTAAAATTACCAATTCAAAGGCAGCAACCCAACAACGGGTTGTCCGATTCATCTGAAAATTTCAGGGCAGATAGATCTTGACCTGATAAACAATTTTACTTCATGTCAGATTTGCTTTAAATGCTTTGGTTTTTGAGTTAAAAGCCAAAAACTGAATTTTACCCCTATGTTCTATTTTTAGCCGTGGCGGCCATCTTGGTTAGTTGACCAGGTCACGCCACACATTTTTAAAACTAAATAACCCAATGATGATTGTGGCCAAGTTTGGTTTAATTTGGCCACGTAGTTTCAGAGGAGAAGATTTTTGTAAAAGATTACTAAGATTTACGAAAAATTGTTAAAAATTGACTATAAAGGGCAATAACTCCTAAAGGGGTCAACTGACCATTTCAGTCATGTTGACTTATTTGTTAATCTTACTTTGCTGAACATTATTGCTGTTTACAGTTTATCTCTATCTATAATAATATTCAAGATAATAACCAAAAACAGCAAAATTTCCTTAAAATTACCAATTCAGGGGCAGCAACCCAACAACAGGTTGTTCGATTCATCTGAAAATTTCAGGGCAGATAGATCTTGACCTGATAAACAATTTTACTTCATGTCAGATTTGCTTTAAATGCTTTGGTTTTTGAGTTATAAGCCAAAAACTGCATTTTACCCCTATGTTTTATTTTTAGCTGTGGCCGCCATCTTGGTTGGTTGGCCGGGTCACGCCACACATTTTTTAAACTAGATACCCCAATGATGATTGTGGCCAAGTTTGGTTTAGTTTGGCCCAGTTGTTTCAGAGGAGAAGATTTTTGTAAAAGATTACTAAGATTTACGAAAAATGGTTAAAAATTGACTATAAAGGGCAATTACTCCTAAAGGGGTCAACTGACCATTTCGGTTATATTGACTTATTTGTAGATCTTACTTTGCTGAACATTATTGCTGTTTACAGTTTATCTCTATCTATAATAATATTCAAGATAATAACCAAAAACAGCAAAATTTCCTTAAAATTACCAATTCAGGGGCAGCAACCCAATAACGGGTTGTCCGATTCATCTGAAAATTTCAGGGCAGATAGATCTTGACCTGATAAACAATTTTACCCCATGTCAGATTTGCTCTTAATGCTTTGGTTTTTGAGTTATAAGCTAAAAACTGCATTTTACCCCTATGTTCTATTTTTAGCCGTGGCGGCCATCTTGGTTGGTTGACCGGGTCACGCCACACATTTTTAAAACTAGATACCCCAATGATGATTGTGGCCAAGTTTGGTTAAATTTGGCCCAGTAGTTTCAGAGGAGAAGATTTTTGTAAAAGTTTACGGACGACGGACGACGGACGCAGGACGACGGACGACGGACGACGGACGCAAAGTGATGAGAAAAGCTCACTTGACCTTTCAGGTCAGGTGAGCTAAAAAGCAAATTAAAAAAAAACAAAAGGTTCATTTTTTTTCAATTTTACTAATAATTAGATATAATCTAAACCTGTATGTTTAACATTTTGGTACAACTACAAAATGACAGAATATCTAATTTGCTTCTTAAATGAGTGATTTATAAATCACTCATTTCGGTAATTCCCCCAACTGCTGAGAGGTCACTTTTGATACTTCCAAAGAGTGACTGCTTAATACAGGTTTGACTGTACATGTGTGGTTCATTTTGAAGCAATTCATTTTTTTGCAAGTGTAATTATAAATTGAATTCATTAGTGGGGCAAGTTGGTAGGTCTTAATACAGCAGTATTAGTAGGGCGAGTTGCCAGGCCTTTATTCTACAGGAGTAAGGGAGCTACCATTTGATTTTTATGGGGGGCTAGGATGAAATTTGAAAAAAATAGGCAGGACAGGAGTTTTGAGTAAAAAAAAAGGCAGGATGAGATTATTTGCAAAAAAAAAAGACAGGATGAAAATTTATGTAAAAAAAAAGTCAGGATAAACTAAAATAAAAGGCAGGACCGAATAGAGTGAAAAATAAAAAGGCAGGACCAAATAGAGGGAAAAATAAAAAGGCAGGACAAAATTTTTCATCCTAGCTCCCCATAAAAATCAAATGGTAGCTCCCTAAACTTCTTTTCGTGACATAAGTGGAGTGAGTTGGTTAACTTAAAGAGAACAAGTTGGTAGAAAGTTAAGAGTTTGTCTGGGGCGATTTGGATATTCCAAGAGTTGTCAGGAATTCAAATGCACTCATTTGGAATATGGAAACTTACAATACTTGAATATTTAGAACCGTCTGCTGACATATCCAACTATAGCAGTCATCACGTGACATTGGCGACGTCACACATCACCCGTACCATGCCCAAGTAAAATGTATAGAAATGCACAGGGGCTTTCAGGAATCGATAAAATAAATTATTTTAAGTTCATGATAAAAAAAGTGTGGAAATATATAGTAATTCCTCATATATTTAGAAATATATTTATGCCTTTTGGAAAAGTTTAAATTTTGGTCTTCTCCCTTCCAAATGCTTTTGAAAATTTGTCTTGTTGCCTCGATAATTCACACTGTTAAATCATCCAACTCCGATAAATATTGGATTTTCTGTCGTGTTAAACCTAAAATTGCGATTTAAACAAAACAGATGGAAAAATTGTGGAAATATGTGCTTATTACTATATTCATAAATATTTGAAATATCGTACATGCAATAGTTTAATTTTTTATTACGTCCCTTCCAAATTGATTTGAAAATTAGCTATTTTCAGAAAATCGGGTATTATTTTTCAAGATGGCGACCACATTGACAGCGTGGGCCGACTTGGTAAAAATATATTTTGTAAGATTATTACAATGAAAATCAAATGACTGTTGGATGCTCGCGTTTTCAGTCATTGTCATACCTTAAAGCAGCATAGAGTCAAACATTGGTTCCTTTTGATAAAGCTGATACATGCTGTTGTTTTTTTATAAGAATTTTAAAAAATGGCGACCAAATAATTTTCAAACGTAGACGATGTTCGACACTTATTTTGTCCATGCAAATAATTCAATTTAATTTCACTGTTTATATTGCAATTAAATATGACACGTTATTGTCACTATAATGATAGCCAAGGACATAGCTAGACTAAGGAGATATTAAGTCATAACATCAACGTAATCAAAGAAAACAAACATGGCACCTAATCACGACATAAGTTTTGACAATACCTATGTTGATTAGTGTTGTCAGATTCTCAATGAAATTCATTACGATATTATTTTATATTTATAAAAGAAGACCTCGAATGGATATTAACCGAGGTGAAATAACTATATTTTTCAATTTTCTTTAAACCATTCATCGGGTAACTAGTAAATTTTACATAATCCTAATTAAACCAGTAACATGCAGAGTTATCGAACTTAATTATGACTGGAATAGTTGCATATGGGCAATAGGTCAATTTAGAAGTCCCCCCTTTTTATGAAATAACCTTGTCTGTATTTAAATCCGGTTCCTCCTGTACAAGTCTATACAGGAATGACTTAGGGTCTCTACACAATGTCGTTCTCGTTGACATAAAAGTTGTTCCACCAACATTTAACTTCACCCATTCGCTAATTCTGCCTTGGCCAGAACCAGAATTTTGGGTTGGTACAGTAGTGTTGCAGGATTGAGGCCCATTTTTGGCCATGGTCCATCAATAGATTATTTCATCGACATGCAACCCCAATGAACCTCAATAAGTCTATATTTTGATTCTTTTAGCTTTTGCTAAGTTTGTTCTGTGCTATTTTTCACACGATGGAATGAAACAGTTTCCATATTTTCATTATAATAAAATCTCGTAAATTCACGTGCATCATTGTTAAACTGGTGCTTGATATACACGGCTCTAGTCGTCCCTCGCTGGTATTGGTCCAATGCGGAACTACCAAAGCAATGATTTAGGGTCTACATACTCCCGAGACTCTGTGTTTAAAGCTGATAATATTTATAAACAAATGATATGGTGAAAATGTACTGATGCAGTATAGGTTTTGCTCATACACCAATCTCGAGCTGTTTTTTTTTTTAGAATGAGTTACACCGGATCGCCGCAGGCGCGTAGCTACGTTTACGTCAAAACGCCCGGGCGTACACATTTGTGTGCATTTCTTTCTAACCAAAATTTTGTAAACGTTGTGTGCCGTTTGTTATCGTTTGCTAAACGCTACAAAAGTAGAAACAAATACAGCGTTTAATCAGTGTTTACTGACCCTGTTTGAACTTTCAATAATGCATGCAAATGTTGTGGTAAACAGACCTATTACAAAAGTTGAAACAAACACATCGTTTAATCAGGCTGAAGTTAGAAACAAATGTAACGTCTGTACTAACAAACGATGAACGACAAACTGTAGACGCAGTTTTAGCGAGTGCATAGTTTGTCAAAGTTTTAAATTAGGTAAACTTTGCAAACGTATGTTAGGAACAAATGATCAAAACATGTGCGCGCTTAGTCGTTTGTATCGTTTGTGTTAGAAAGAAATGCACTCTTAGAAGATAAAAGTAATTTAATCTAAATAAATTTAAAGAACTGGTGAAAAGCACGTGCATCTTGTACTTCTTTCTTTAATGGCTTGTACTTGGAGATAAAAGTGACAAAATTTACTTGTAATCAAATGGTATGTTATGTATTTGTTTATTGTCAGTTATAGTCTGAATCTACTGTGAATTCTACTTCGTATACTATTGATAAAAGCAATTTATTATATGCTGAGGTACAGTATATGCGGTTTCCATTTTTGTCGAGCATGCGTCATTCATGTTGCGAAACGAGTCTTAGCGATTCTAGATTCCGTCCGCATCATCACTTGAACATTTAGGTTCAGTCTGTGGTTAAATAAAATTGAGAATAGAAATGGGGAATGTGTCAAAGAGACAACAACCCGACCATAGAGCAGACAACAGCCGAAGGTCACCAATGGGTCTTCAATGCAGCGAGAAACTCCCGCACCCGGAGGCGTCCTTCAGCTGGCCCCTAAACAAATATGTATGCTAGTTCAGTGATAATGGACGTCATACTAAACTCCAAATTATGCACAAGAAACTAAAATTAAAAATGATACAAGACTAACAAAGGCCAGAGGCTCCTGACTTGGGACAGGCGCAAAAATGCGGCGGGGTTAAACATGTTTTTTGAGATCTCAACCCTCCCCCTATACCTCTAGCCAATGTAGAAAAAACAAACGTACAACAGTACGCACAGTAAAACTCAGATCAAGAGAAGTCCGAGTCCGATGTCAGAATAGGAAACAAAAGAAAATAAACAAAATGACAATAATACATAAATAACAACAGACTACTAGCAGTTACTGACATGCCAGCTCCAGACCTCAATTAAACTGATTGAAAGATTACGTCTTCGTCATATGAATATCAGTCACAATCCCTCCTGTTAGGGGTTTAGTATTATACCATCATAAAATATATGAGAAGAACATAACCCGTGTCATGCCAACAACTGGTTTTAGAATAAATATGTTTAATTCCGATGCAAAGACCCTATAAGTGAATCAATATTAAAGCCAAAATATGCAATCTTTAATGACCTGACAACAGTATCGTAACTATATCCCTTCTCAATATAAGTCTGTTTAAAGGTTTTGTTAGCTTTTGAGGTGAATACTGACATTTTTGTGCTTTGTAAAGAATATTACCATAAAAGATTGGATGTGAAATACCCGAACGTATAAGATGTCTGCATGTTGAGTTATATTTACGAATGATGTCCTTATACCGATGATAAAATTTAGTAAATGTTTTGACTAGTTTATGATATCGAAAACCCTGGTACATGTAATAATTTTTCAGTAATACATAAATTTCTCTCGCTAAAATCTAATACGTTGTTACATACACGAGCGAATCGTACAAGTTGAGATATATAAACACCATAAGATGGTGACAAGGGAACGTCACCATCTAAAAATAGATAATTAACGATAGGAAATGAAAAATCATCTCTTTTATCATAATTTTTTTGTATTAAGCTTCCCGTTAATGATATAGATATCAAGATCGAGGAAAGGACAGTGGTCATTGTTAGTATTAGCTTTATTTAAAGTAAGTTCAACAGGATAAATTTCTTTAGTATACACACTGAAGTCGTCATTATTGAGAGCCAATATATCATCCAAATATCTAAAAGTATTGTTAAATTTTTGTATCAGATGTTGTTTCGATGGGTCTTTCCTGATTTTAGTCATAAATTGTAACTCATAACAATACAAAAACAGGTGCACAATAAGTGGTGCACAGTTAGTCCCCATTGGAATTCCGATAACTTGACGATATACGGAATCTCCAAAGCGAACAAAAATGTTATCAAGTAAAAATTCAAGGGCAGATATAGTATCAAAGCATGTCCAATTGACATAGCTCTTTTGTTTGTTGCTACTAAAAATGACCTAAAAGAGTTTGAACATATGTATTCGCATTCCGACTTTTTAAATGCCCATTTAATTAGGTGTGTGAATTTTTTCTTAATAAGAATATGAGGCAAAGTGGTATATAGGGTAGAAAAAATCAAAACTTTGAACAGATTTAAAATCACCAATATATGCATGCAATTTATCAAGTACTTCCAACGAGTTTTTGACACTCCAAAAGTAGTTAATTCCACTATTTTCAAAGGCCTTATTTGAACAATTTATTATCAGGTTTTTGATTGTACCAAGTGTACTAGTAAGTAAAATAGACAATTTAGTAGTGGAACAATGACTTGAAGACGAAATAAATCAATATTTGTAAGGTGATTTGTGTAGCTTCGGAAGCCAGTACATAGTTGGGACTTTCATTGTATTTGGTTCTGCTTGTAAAGAAGTAGCTAATAGTTTATGTTTGTTACAGATATCGTTTTCTGAAAATGAAGTCATTTGGAATGTTGGTGAATTCGTGATTTATTCTTGCAGAACCTCAATGTAAAATTTACGTCAAACCATAATGATATTATTAGCAGCTTTATCAGCCGGGACAAAAACAAATTCCTTGGCTAGTTCTTTTAGTTTATGTTTGATACGAGAAATAGGATTTTTATGGTTGTTGTTAAGAGTAAAATGTTCTTTAAAATGTTGTATACGTATATCAACTTTCTTCATTACTGAATTAAAAAAAGAGTCCAAAGATTTTTTGTCAGCTTTTTCCCGTTTTATCCATTTCAAACAGTAAGCACGAAGTGAGTCGTGGATGGTATTACGACACTCATTCCAATTAATAATTGACGGGGGACGATATTTAGGTCCTTTACTGAGGAATGATTTTAACTCTCGGTCGCGAACGATGTTAAGGTCTCCTGTTATAACATGGGAAATGGGGCCATAAGTGTATTCGGAATTACTACAATTACATGACGTAGGTGTATTTTCACTGATGTTTACATCTTTACAGACTTGGCTATAATTAAACACAAATTTTCGGGTAGATTTCTTGTAAATATAACAAATAAGAGGGAGTTCAGTATTATCAAAATATCCAGGAATTTGTTCTTTAACAGAATGGTCGTTAAAAATACCGGCAATATTTACAAAATCAAAACCTTTATTGACATACTTTATTTTATTCGATAGGGCGATCAATTTTGGGAAACAGTTTAAGTTTTCAGACATCAATAACTTTTCAAACCTTAATGGAATTTTACGGAAATCGGACACAAGCTTTTTTATATTTAAAGTCAGTATCCAGAGCATAATGGAAATATATTTCTACTTTTTTTCCGTATTTTGTTGCTTTATAGTTAAAAAGTATAGTAACAGTCTAATGCTAAATTTTGTTACCCATCAACTACTTTGTCAAAACCTTCGTCGAATTGAATGAAACTTTTTCAGAAGCATTTTTATGATAAGGAGATAATGTCAGAAGCAAAATTTGGAATGTACATGTATTTGTTGTTTTTTTATTTTATTTTGGAAGTATTTTATTGACTTTTTGCAATTAACAAACGGTCTGAGATTATTTTTTTTTACATAATAAAATGTGTACACCTTCAATGATTGTTAGTATGAAACTTGTAAATAATCTAATTGGCATGATCAAGATCAAGAAAAAGTATCTAAATTAAAAATGTTTGATTTTTTTTCTAAAATCCTGTATTTGACTGCATGATAAAAGTATTCTTTTTACAGTCAACATTACACTTTAAAACGGACAGCAGCAGTCCCAAGCCAGATACAGGGTTCCACGAATCCCTTTTGAATTTTCATATTACACCTGACAATCTATGATAATTAACTATTTCTTATGTATTCATTAACGGAATTTGCGCATACCAATAGGAAAAAAATAGATGAAGTCAAAATAATTAATTTAACGACAACATTGATATATTTTACAGTAACTGGTTTTGGACATTTTCCCGAAGATCAATCGGATCATTATATTCCACATAAACACAATAAATGATATGAACATAAAACTAAAATATAGACTCTAAAGAATGATTGTCTCTTTTTCTCAATAACGTCCCTCGAACCCACTAACAAGGGGTCCTCTGCCCTAGAACCGCTGGTTCGCGGAGGTTCGGGCGTACACTTTTAAAACAATGGTCAAGCTACGCCACTGATCGGCGTAAACGACGTCAACGAACAATCGAAAGGCAATTTACGGGAAACAGCACGAATTCGAAAGTCGTCTATTATTGAAGGCCGTACAGTACAGTACAGTCTTTAATCTTCAAGTTTTGTCTTGATGACAGGGTAATCTCTCATTTTGAGTTGCCTTAAGATTTTTTATCAAATCTTCATTGAGTAAAAACAGAAACATATAATAAATTGTATAATGTGTCTCTGGTAAAAACAAGCATGCATGTATTC